AGGAATGGAGCAGAGAGCAGAGAATGGAGGTTTTGAGCACTGTTACTGGCTATTTTTTTAATACTTCTCTGTGTAGCCTGGGTTACAAGCAGGGCAGGGCAGAGCGGGCACAGTCCCGACATGAAACAGGGAAGGGTTGAGCATCCCTCCTACTACCTGCCCCATGCAAGCACAACCTTAGTGTCCAGAAAAAAACACAAGCTGTGCTGGTATCGCAGCAGGCAGGTGGGAGCATGAGCGAAGAGTGGAACAGCATACCCTTTGCCTGTTTGGAGGAAGTGATGGGTGTTGAGACTCTGCTAGGTTCAAGGCCTTGGCCATGTGCTGTGCTCCCTGGGATGAGTGTCAAATCACCTACACATCACATGAAAGTGTCAAGGACTCAGCAAAGGCAGAGCGCTCTCAGGAAACCAGTCTGCTGTGGCTCCACGATGACCCAGAAGCCCCATGGCGTGGTGTCTGCACCTCACTGGGCAGGCTCTCCCAGGGGCTATGTGCTTGCTTTCCTACCACCTGGACCTTCATGGGTGAAAACTGCTCTACCATTCCTCAGAACATGTCTCTCAGCCTTGTGGTTTTGCATGGGAAAGCAAAGCAACTGAGAAGCTGACTAGAAATAAAGTGATTTAAGGTGGGTCGGGGCAGCTGGGGGTGCTGGTGGCTCTTACAATTTTATACGCTATGCATTGCAACTCTAAAGAACTAAGAGCCAACTTTTTGCAGAGATGTCTGCAGTCGTGTGTTTTGTTTCATGCAAGCATTACTGATGAAAGAAATGTTACTCTTGTTCTCACTTTGCTTTGTTAATTTCCTTTAGTTTAAAATAAAAATTTTACAAACTGCAAATGTATCTCACTTCTTTGATATGCACAGGGAAGATAACTAACAGATACTTCTCTCTACCGTTCATCTGCTTTCACTGAACTGCCTAAGTTAGATTTTCTGCTCTGAGAGGATGGCAGTGTTCGTATGGTGTAAGATTAGCTTGAGCTGCATAGTCCTGGGGGCACTCCGAATATGGTCCTCTTCCCAGTGTGCAGGGAAACTGCATGTGGCCTAACCTTACCGGGCTAGGGAGAGAGGAGGATGTCTATAGCCACGGGAGCCCACACACCTACGGAGAAACAGAGTCAAAGCGTATTAATGCTCATCTGAGCTTGTTTGTGGAAAGTTAATGCTAACATAGTACACATAGTTGTCATCTTTCAGCCTCTGCCAACTTCAGCAGCAATCAGGAAACGTGTTTTTATTGCAGAGGAGATCAATAAATTAGCCAAGGCAGGAAAAGTGACAAACCCCATCATGACGACTTGTCGCTGCTTCTACCTGCCTCTTACACGCTGCTTTGAAGGCCGCTCACTGTGTGGGAAAGTCCTGAGGGATGGACGCAGCAAGTGTTACGTTCCAGGACCCTTCTGCATGCTGTAGCTTAAACTCTGCAGTAAACGGCACAGCTGAGAAAAGCCCACTGCTGTATACATGAGGAAGATCACAAGATTCAACTTTTAACTTCTTAGTCAAATGATAGAGCAGTTCGACTGCATGTCGGATGCACAGCCCAGCTTCAGCTGGCAGGCAGGCAAGAGACAGGCAGGAGAAGCAAGTGATAATAAGGCTTCAGCATTTGACAGAAGCTATCACGTCAAGACAACGCCAAGGTTACTTTCTGAGACACAAAGCAAGTCTAAAAGGGTCCATTGGGGATGACAGGTTCCACATGTCAGACCAGCAAAATCTAGGACCCTACAAGCCCTGGGCCTGAAAGTCTGACAGGCTAGACCCAGCCACCAAAGCAGAGATGACAGCAGAAGGCAGATGCTGAAATGCCAGCATCTTGCCTTGTGGGTATTTCAGTATGCCCACCCGAGCTGAGAAGCAGGATGGTTGAAACACTGCTTTCACACTTGTGTGTTATCTGTGTCTGCTAAGGCTTTCTATGGCTTCTTAAGCAAGCTGTTTGGCCTCCTGTCTCTGCTCCTCGTTTAGAGAATAGATGGGGAAATCTGCCTGTTCTCTGGTTTTTTCTCTTTGACTCGAGCTTTGTCCATGACAGCCATTTAAAGCTCTTAGCACCATGTCACTCATATTCAATGGGACCTACATCACGAATGTCAAGAAATAATAGAACTGCTCCAGCCCCTCCTCCCCAATCTGTCAGTGACCAGGTGGTTCAGACTCAGTGCAAATTTAAGTGTCTTCTTGGATTGTCCCTAGCATTGGGGATTACGTAGCAGACCAGAAGGACAAGGATCCCAAAATTCTTTGGGTTGGAAATCCCGCCTCTCAGAAAACTGCTACACTGACACGTAATTATCAAATCAATGTAGTGCCAAAAAGTCATTCATGTAAAAAAACTTTCTTGACAGTTCAAAATTGTCATTTGTCACTTGGAGAGTGTGTTTTCACCGGGATGTTGGGTCATGAAACAGTAATCTATTTCTCTATAGTGTAGAATGCCTTTTAATAATACACACTTTCTAATCTATGGGAAATACAATTTAAAAGAGATTAAACGTATCATGAGATTGATGGTTAGTCACAAGCCCTCCCATGAAGAAAAAATGTATTCTGAAATGTATTGTTATTACTGGACTCTCCCTAAATTTCTGCTTTCCCAGAAGCTTACTGCGTTGCACAGCTCCCAGTAAGACCAAAGACAGAAAGGGCCCTTGCCATATATAGAGTTCTGTCTTCAGGAAATAGCCACTGGGTGCTCCTACAAAAGGGGTAATGAAAATTTTTGCAAATAAATGCTTGAACATAAATAATCATAATATATTCAGCAGTTTTTCTGTTCAATAAACAGCCATGAGCCACCTGTTACTACCATACACCAATATACTCTCTCTCTCTCTATGGTCAATAGGAGTTGCACATTCTTCATTATAGTGTGATCTGAAAATTTAATGTAGCCTTTCAGGCAACATGTACCACACAGCACATCAAAACCAGCAGACAGGCACAGAGGCGCTTCTAATATGGATGCACTTCATTTAGGAAAATATCATTACACGGGCTTCTCAGGCTGCTCTAAAAGCCACCCTGGCCAGTCAGATGGAGTATGCCAGCAGATCTTACAACAAAGTAGCTCTATTTCTGAACTGCCTCAAAACACGGCAGTTTTTGCCTAACGTGCCAATGCGTTGAGAACGCACTAAATCCAGAGCCATCACTGGCTCCCTGAGGATGGGCAAGTGATATAACATGCACCAATATTTCCTCAAAATCTGCACTAGAACAGCTCCCACATGCTATCTGCTCATACTGGTTTAGCAAGCATATCGTCCACTGAGAGCTTCCAGCTGAACACTTCCGGTGGCAGGCACCAAGGGAGGTCCACACACACCTTCAGGATGTGACATTTACTCCAGTCAACCAGTAAACCATCAGTCAACACCATGGATGAGAGTGCTATTTGGGGGAGTTTCAGAGTGTGACTTGCTTTCAGGCAGTTCTTACTAAATTTTTCCCTTGCCCCTGAAAGAAGCCCACAACACACAAAGCCAGTAGCAGCAAAAGAAAGTGTGGAACAATGACTCAGAAAGCTGAACACCTCACTTCAAGGAACCAGCAGCTCACAGTGAGGTGGGAGCCTGCTGCTCAAATGGGAGCAGCTCTTTCAGGTCGGTTAGGATAAAGCAGCTACTCTAAAAAAAACTCACGTGTTCTTGCAAATCCCTTGGGTAGGAAAGGTCTTAGTGACACAGAAGGTCAAATCTCACCTTCGGTGCAACTTGAACACTTGTTCCAGAACTTCCCAAAAGCCAGCAGGATTCAGGTACTGAAGTGCCAGAGTTACTTTTGAAAATAGGACTCTGGTTCCAAAAATTATTTCAGTGCTTTGAAATCTCTACCCTGAGTGGTTTTCTTGTGGAAGCCCCACTCAAGCCCACAGAGACATATTTTTAAAGTCATGCAACTGCTTGTGAAAATCCCACCTTCTGCTGCTTGGGCACAGAGGAGCCATTAGGAAGCATCTATGGGCTTTCAGCCCAAGCAAGTACCTCTGAATGTGTTCTGCTTGCCTTGCTACAATTGAGTCTTGCTCCTTTCTAGAGACTTAATGACAAAGCAAACTAGAAAGCACATTCATTCATTCCACTCACAATTTGAAAGAGGAAAACTTCTGAGCGGTGAGGCAAGCCCCCACCAAGCGCCTGGAGCATAGGGCTTACCATGAGCCTGTTTCCATGGCAGTAACTGGGTGACTGATGAAAGGGTAGAAGCTGTACTCCAGTTCACCCCACTAAGGTGTAGCTGGACTTCTCCACTCCCCAACTTACTCGGAAACTTCCTCTTTTTACAGCATGTTGCAAGTTACATTTCTAGTTTTGGGAAATGTTTTCAAAACATGAAGTCTCTCGGTCCCTACTGGAATACAGAACGCTACACGCTGTAAAGCTCTGGTCATGTAACTCCTTCTGTGACCATCTGCTTTGGTAAAGCAGGCATCCACCCTGCAAATCAGAATAAACTTCAGTAGTAGGGCTATGCTGTCTCTGTGATCAAAGAGATAGTAAGTGTCACACAGCAGAGCAGAAGCATCTATCCCAACAGAGCACTGCTCTTTTGGTCTGCATGGAAACACACAGAATTTCCTCCAGAAAAGGAGAAAGTTCTGTGGCTGAGCAAAAGAAAATGAGTTCAGCTGTTGAAGTCTTCTAGAGCATGGCTGTGGTTTGTGGATCTTCCATGATTTATCAGTGTAGTGGTCGATGTAGGGAACAAGAAGATAGAAAGAGAAGAGGCTGGAGGGATGAAGTGGAGCACTACAAGGCTGAAGACCACAACTGTTTTATACCTCAAGTAATCTCAAAATTTTATCAGCTATAGAAGAGGGAATCTGCTCTTAGTTATCTGCATCCAGCAT